GCGGGCAGCAGGGTCCAGCCTGCCCGGGCAGAGCCGGGAGCTGGAGAAATCCCCTGCTGGTTTAGTGCTTTGCACCTTCAAAGACATAGGCAGCTCTCTCTAATTAACCTTCCCCCACCCTGCCAGGCGGGGAGGTGATTTTATCTTCATAGGGCTGGTGGAAGAAGCAGAGTCTAAAAAACTTGCCCAAGGGCCCCAGTGGGGTCGGTGCCATCTCCGGGCTCAGCCTTGGCAAGGTTGTCCTGCTTTAGAGCCTCCCCGGGGTGCTGCTCCTCCTAGAGGGGGATGGGACCTTCACCAAAAGATGGGGGAGCTTGTGGGGTGGGCTCCCCCTGTTTTGACGGTGCCGGCACGCTTCTGGGTACGGCTGGAAAGGAGAGGGTTCAAGCAGCTGCAGTTGTGCACAGAGCAAAATTGTCTTGGTGTTCTTGCAGGGGTGCTTTGGGGGGTTTTCTTAATGGGTCTGCTTGTCAGGCTGAGGCTGGCAGTACCGCTGAATCCAGCATTGTGAGCCTACATGAATAATGAATAGCCATCACATGAATATTTCAGAGACACAGTCCTGAGATCTCCCAGTGCTGCCTTAGAGGAAAATGGGGGAAAAGTTGCCCAGAAAGAACAATGTTTCCTTTAGGCAAAAATGCACTGGTGTCGTTGGCTTTTGAAAAAGAGCTGCTGCTGCTAAATAATTCTCAGGATTTGCATCAAAAACTGGAGCAGTGGTTTGGCTCCAAGGCAGAAGAAGTTGGGAGGGAAGCCAGCCCTTTTGACACAAGTCGGTGATTACAGTGCGCTAGAAGGACAGCAGACCGTACTTCGTCTATGCAATGGGTTTTGTGAGAAGGCCCAAAGCCATGGCCACCCTCCAAAGAGCCAGCAGTGCCGGGCACTCAGCTAACGCACTTCAAAGGCGCCGCAAGAGGTTCGGCAATGTGCAGGGGGTGCTCGCTCTCCTGGGACAGCATTGCGTTCCAGCCCGAGCGCTGCTGTCAAAGAGCTGAGTTGTAAAAACGTGGCCCAGCAGCAAAAATCGAGTTAATTTTGCATGCCGTGGTATCTGCTGTGTTGTATGGGAGCGGGCTGCAAATCAACAGGTTTTTTGGACTTCGCAGCAGCGTGCACCTCTCCTCCATGCTCTCCTCGGCTGTCTGCGCTCTTGGCACGCACACACAGGTGCCCAGTCGCCTCTGTACAGCTCCTGTGACAGCATCTCTTCCTCAGTGGCCCTTTTCGCTGCATGCAATTAATCCATGCATAAATATCTTCTAGGAGAAGCAGGTTGTCGTGTTTAGGTAGGACCAGAAGCAGCCTGTCTTGCTCAGGTAGGCACAAGGGAGCAACAGGAGTGGGATGAGAAATGTTGAAATTAGAAATAGGCAGGTAAGACTCTAGCCGGGACTCTGATGTCTCAGTTACTCGGCTCACCCAATCTGTATCTCCTTCAGTGTTGCTCTGCTCAAAGCAATCCTCGCTGTGCTGCTGGCGTCAGCGGACAGAAATAATTCCTTAGCATTTATGAAGTGCCCAGAAATGTATCTGTTGCAAGAATGAGGGCAGTTTGTGCATCTGTTCAGCAGCTCCCACAAAGGTGGCGGAAAATATCTGCAGTGACTATCCCTGGGGCACTTCATTCTGCAAACAGGGAATGTCGTGGGAAGAAAGGGCAGCATGTGGGAAAAACATCCCGATCAAAACACACAGTCCTTTGCTCTTCAGGTTACCCTTAAACCTCACCGCCCCGATGCACAGAAGGTTGCAGGTGGTGGACAAAGTCCAAGTCTCCTTTCCCCACCGCACCAGCACTCCTGCGCGTTTCTGTTTCCAGTTCATACCACCGGCCACGGCTGCCCATGTCCCATGGAGGGCCATCGAGCTTTGGACTCTGTACCGGTGGCTGTGTCACCAGCCAAGGACCCTGGCGGTGCCAAGGCCGCGCTGCCGGGGCTGTGCCGATGGGATTATTAAAGCGTTTTGCCACTGGTTGGGCAGCCTGGGAACGGCATCGCGTGTGCCGCGGCTGTGGGGTTAGAAGTGCTGCCAGACCCAAGGCGTGGGGAAAGGCCGGGCTGGCTGGCTGCTCTGGTTGGTGATTATGCAGTGCAGAAGGAAGGTAACTTTTAACTGAAGTATAAAAGAAATACAATAATGAGCACTCATATTACTGCCTCAGTGCCCACATAAAGACCTGAGAGGGTTTTATTAAAGATGACTTGATTAAAAATGAATTTACTAAATCGCTGCATGCTGTCTGCAGCCCACCAGCCTTCCACTGAAGCACTTTGTGTAAATGAAAAGGCGAACGCTGAGTCCCCTTTCATCAGTCTTATTTGCCTGTAGGAAGTGAAGGAGGGGCTGGACCAGGCTGGCGGTGGTGGCAGAGCCTGGGATGAGCATGGCAAGGGTTCAGACGCGCTCGGGAAATTTATGCTGTATGGTTGCCGGCTTTGAAAGGGAGAAGAAAGGAAGAACGGCGTCTTCCTAACGAGTGTCTATCATGGGGAGGCATCACGTAGTGCTGAGCGTGAGAAAAGACCACTCCTGCCCACGGGGGTTTGTACGCTGCCGTGCTGCTGGCGGCCAGCACCTGAAGTTAAGCTTTGCCTGCCTGGGTAGGCAGCGCCTCTGTTTTCCAGGGATTAGCCGGGTTATTCTCCGATTACAACTGATACACATTACAGAGTTATAGTCAAAAACATCTGGCCTTAACCCAACACCCATAAAGGAGAAATGGTTCATAAATCAGTTCACTGTGCAAGAACAGGTTGAGTTGTTTATTAATTTCACCTTCTCTCCCCGCTTGACCTGGACCGGCCGCAATGGCTGCTGTCGAAACTTGTTTGATGGTTTCCTGGCAGGGTGAGCAATGTCCTCCATCCCGCAGAGATGCCCAGGCTCTGGCTAGATTTTGGCAGCTGTCTTGTAGCACACCTTCCACCGCCGCATGCAGGATCCCTCGTTGTCACCATCGTTCCTTGTATGCACTATTAGCTGCGTTGGGATGACAGAGCCCGGGGATGGGGATCCTGCATTGGGCTGGGTGTGTCACAGCGTGCAGAGGCAACCTTGGCCCTGGGAACTCATGGCTTCCCCCGGAGGGATGCACAAAACCCCTGCCCCGTTGCCGGCAGCCGGGACAGGGTTTTGCACACCTCGCTGGCGGCGTTGTTTGCTTCCCGGAGATAGCATCTACACCAGGCCGAAGTGGCGAGCAAAACCAGCCCCTGCAGCCATCGGTGCTGCCATGAGCTCTGCTGGGGCTCACTGCCCTGTGTGTCGCCCCTCGGCCACATATCTTGGGGCGCTGGGTTTAGACCTGCCCCGGGTTTTATCAGTGCCCATGGGGTAATGGTGGGGCTGGTGGCTGCTGGGAGAGTAAGAGATATAGGGCTGGGTTTGGGGCAGGGAGTGTCGGAGAGGCGTGCGTCTGTCCTGAGCGCTATGGGGATGGATGGACGGATTGGCAGGGCAGCTTGGGGATGGATGGTCAGATAGACAAGGCAGCCTGGGGATGGATGGATGGATGGATGGATGGATGGACAGATGGATGAACAGGGCAGCATGGGGATGGACAGACAGATAGGCAGTGTGGCATGGGGATGGACGGATGAATGGGCAGGGCAGTGCGGGGACGGATGGATGGATGGATGGATGGGCAGGGCAGGGCAGCTTGGGGAGGGAGGGATGGATGGATGGACAGACAGACGGACAGGCAAGGCAGCGTGGGGTGGATGGATGGACAGGGCAGCGTGGGGATGGATGGATGGATGGATGGATGGATGGACAGTTGGACAGGCAAGGCAGCGTGGGGATGGATGGATGGATAGATGGATGGGCGGGCAGGCAGGGCAGCGTGAGGCTGGACAGAGGGACGTGCTTGGGCGTTGGTGGGCGGCTGGCGGGCCAGGGCAGCGTGTGGGCGGCTGCCAGACGGATGGTCCGTGAGCACACGGAGCGATGGAGAGGCCGTCCCGTCCCAGG